ATGGGACTTCATCAAAATTAAAAGCTTTTGCATGGCTAAAGAAAACATCAGCAAAATGAATAGGGATCCAATCTTATGGAAAAATATATTGGCAGATGATATCCCAGACAAGGGTTTTCTCCAAAATACATAAAGAACTCATATGACTCCACTGCAGAAAGACAATCAATCCAATTTAAAAATGAGCAATGGGGCCCTGGCTGGTGTAGCTCAGTGGATTGAGTGCTGTGAACTAAAGGGTTACCAGTTCGATTCCAAGTCAGGGAACATACCTGAGTTGCAGGCCTGGTCCCCAGTTAGGGGCATATGAAAGGCTACTACACATTAATGCATCTCTTCTTCTCTTTCTCCCTCCCTTCCCCCTCTCTCTAAAAATAAATAAGTAAAATATTTTTAAAATAATGGGCAAAGGACCTGAACAGACACTTTTCCAAGGAGGACATACAGAGGGCCCAGACACATGAAATGTGCGCATCAGTAGCCATTAGAGATATGCAAATTAAAACCACAGTGAGATACCACTTCACACTGGTCAAAATGGCCATCATTAATAAATCAATTAACAACAAGTGCTGTCGAGGTTGTGGAGAAAATGAATCCCTAATGCACTATTGGTGGGAATGAGGACTGGTGCAGCCACTGTGGAAAACATTGTAGAATTTCCTCAAAAAACTATAAATGGAACTTCCTTTTGACCAGGCAATTCCACTGCTGAGACTGTACCTTAAGAATCCTGAAACACCAATTCAAAAGTACCTGTGCACCCCAATGTTCATAGCAGCACAATTTACAATAGCCAAGTGTTTGAAGCAACCTAGGTGTCCATCAGTGAATGAGTGGATAAAAAAACTGTGATATATTTACATAATGGAACACCATGCAGCAGAAAAAAAAAGAAGGAAAGCCTACCCTTCACGACAGCATGGATAGAAGTGGAGAACATTATGCTAAAGAAAATAATTGAGGTAGCAAAAGACAAATACAATATGATCTCACCTATAAGTGGAACCTAATCAACAAGTCAAACAAGCAAGCATAATATAAGCAGAGACATTGAAATTAAGAACAAACTGACAGTAACCAGAGGGGAGATGGGAAGAGATAACAGTGGAAAATAAGGAAGGGTAATCAGAGAACATTTATAAAGGACACATAGACAAAGCCCAAGAGATGTAGGATGGACGGTGGGAGGTGGGGATAGCTGCGGTGGCTGGTAGTGAGTGGCGGGGGGAAAATGGAGACAATTGTACTTGAACAACAATAAAAAAGTTAGGAAAAAAGTTCATATATTTTGTCTAACTATTCATAGCTAATGAACTGAAAAGAGGTTTTTAAATCTATCTAAAGCTCAAAGATTATTAAAGCTTAATAATAATACAGTTATTTGAAGTATGATGTCTGTCCAGAAGGTATCCAGCCATGTATTATTAAAAATAGAGACATGTATTAAAGAAGATACAAGATATAAGAAACATTGTGCATAAAACAAGGATATCTCAGTGCCCTTCAATGTAGGCACATTGGAACCTCACACACTTTTCCCAGTCACCATCAGCTCACCCATCATATTTTCCTGAATCTCATGAACAGTCTGAAATCTTTTCCTCTTCAAAGGTAATTTTAATTTTGGGAAAATCGATAATTTTCATGGCACCAAATATGGGCTATAGCAGGGCTGAATCAACTGAGTGATTTGACATTTCACCAGAAAACTCTACATGAGATGTAATGCATGAATGGGTGCATTGTTGTGATGAAGCTGCCAATCACCAGTTGACCATAGTGGTGGCCTTCTGAATCATCTAAATAGTTTCCACAGAGGAATGTTTAAGCTTAATGCAAGATTTGATGCAAATTTGTTGCTGCATTCACTCATTCATTCTGAATGTGTCAGCCACACAGTGTAAGTGTTCACTCAATGGTGTCTAGTGCTCCCACTGATAGTACAGTGAAGCCATCATTGTTCATACACATGCACTCTGGTCCACTCTCCTTGTCTGCCAGGTTACATCAATGTCACACAAACTGTTCTTGTATGTTAACAATGACTAGACATTTTCTGGACAGACCTCAAATATAGGAAGAAGATTCCTGATTATAAATACAAAACTGTTAAAAGCCAATATTATTTCCCTGCTACCACTTTCACAGAACTTCTAGCCATTCCACCCACAGCAGTGTAAAACCCTACTTTAAACTATCCCTAGTTATTCCTCTAAATATATTACAACAGTAAGTTCAGTAAAACTTAACAAGGATGAAAATTCTGATACAAAGCAACTTCCTCCTCCAGCCCTGTTTTGCAAGTGCAAATGGTATGTTTTCTTATCTTTCAGAGAAGAGGCGGTCCATGGAAGGGAGTGGAGGTAAAGGTACAGTTGGCACACTTTTAGGCAGAAGTGTGAAGAATGAAGCCTGTTGATCCAGTGCTCTGCCCATTTATCTCAAGCTTGCCAAAAGATTCAGAAGTATCCCCAATGTATTTCAGACATCGAGGCCAAACAGGAGATACCAAACTGCCAAAAGCAACTAAAGCAAAACCATGGCCATATACATTAATTGATTCATTTATTGAGTATTTAAGTTGTGTCTTATGCTTTTCAGAAAATGGTATGAAATAATCTTCATCATTATATTTACATAACAAAACTTGCAATAATGCTATATGGATAGTCTAAAACTACAATCATATAAAATTTAAAATCATATTGTAAGAAATTACTACATATCTTGTGCAATCAGGCAAAGAAAGCCGAGAGTATCAGGAGACCATAGACATTTTGAATAAATATCTCTTTAACATAGGTTCTCACAATTCTGTGAATGTTTATTATTTGTACCTTCAATTACTATCATTTTCTTAAACTTATTTTTCTCCTCCAGAAATAAAATAATGTAAAGATGCATTGGTTAAAAGTCTACATCTTTTCTTCTTGTTATAAAAGGGTGATATTAAATTTATTGGAGCAAGTGATTCAGTGATTTTTTAAATTACTGTTAAGATTATGTTTATTATTTTGTTGCTATTGTCTAACCTGCTTGAAAAAGAGATAGAATTTCAGGACAGATGGTATAAATCTACATAAATCATTGTCAACTAAAATTCATGATAATAATAACAGCTAGTACAGTTAAAAGGCTCCTTCAATGCCACCTCTGAAGTATTATATTAATATTACCCTCTTTTCCTGAGTAAAAACTAAATTCAGTCATCGTTCAGAAACTATGCCAAAATAAGGTTGTTTCTTTTGGGCAAAACACAAATTCAAACCCAATTATTCTGGGTCAAAATTCAGTGTTCTTTTTATATCAATGTCTGGGCATTTTATTTCTTACATCTGTGAATATATCAAAATTTTCCTTCTTTCTAATTGATCCATGAATAAAATACATTTTAGAAAATGATCACAGTTCCAAGCAATCCTTGATCTCATTCCTGTCCTACATGCATAGTTTTTGCTCAAGTGGAATTGTTTCTCTACACCTCAGCAAGGTCTTCCAATTATTTTCATTAATGTAGCATTGCTCCAAATGGATTTAATGGTTAATCAAGCACTTCTACTCTCTTTACACATGACTATCTCCCTTCAATATTTACCAAAGGCTTTGAAATCAGGCATTTTCACCAGCTGCCCACAGTCAGGCAGGTGCCATTCTTCAAAGTCTTCCTATTGTATCTGTCACATGACATTTGTGTTAAATGAATTATCGAGTATTGAATATGACAATGATAATCAACGAAGACTATTGATGAATAATTTTAATAGTGTAGGAATTTAGTGTCTATTAAGACTTTTGTTTCCTCTCATCTCATCCTGCTAAAAGTTTCTCTGAATTACTTGGCCTCTGTTTTCACCTTCTGGACACATTTGTGTACATCATATTACAAAGGGGACTAGTATGAGATAACCTTAGAGAATATTTATAATTTATTAATGAATTATGTAAAATTTATTCTAATTCAGTTTAAGGTATGTTTATTGCTATATCAGAGTAGATTTCTTTCTGGTTGAACATAACTGTTTTTTATTTCTTAACAGTCCCCTTACTATACACATTAGATGTTAAAGCATAATTTTACTGTGAAACATGGATATTGAATTACATCAAATGCATTTTTAAACATAATATTATCTAGTGTTTCTCTTTGGGATATTTATATTATAAAATTATAGCAACGGCTTTTTTGATATTGAGCATTCTTTATATTTGTAAGATGAAGCCAATTAAACTGTGATGTATAAATCTGCCAATACACTGTGGCATTATTTCATCTACTAATATTTCATTTTGCATACTTACCTATATGGTCGTAATTAAAATTGATATTTCTTATTTATGTTATTCTTTTTTAATTGTGATACTATGGCTATATGCTAGTATGCATGGCAAACTTACAACCTACTTTCCATTGTGTATGTTCAGGGATAATTAAATTGCATAGAAATTACTTTTTCTTTAAAGGAACTTTGAATGACATCACTTGAGCAATGGGTTTTTAATTTTTACTTTTGTTCTTTTTTTTGCTTCCAAAATACTTTTGAAGAATACTTTTCACAACTTTCATTAACACCATCATTTAAAAAGCCTATCTTCTTAAATAAAGTGTATATTTTTAAGAAAACCAATAACAGCTAGATGATCAACTTCACCTCATTACATAAAGTAAGATATCATAATTTATAATTTCCTTTTTTCTCTATTTATTGTATTATCTTACTCATTTCTAATATTATTTTTATTTATTGTGTTTATTAGATAAAGTTAGTCGTTTAACCACTCTCATGAAAACACTCAGGAACCAACACACATTTATTAGTCCCAATGATCATACCATGATTTAAAACTCCTACAAAGTGACTATATGATTCTACCTCCCCCGCCATCTCTGCTTTGATCCTTACCCCTTCACATGATCAATACTTCCAGCATTTGAGTCCACTTGTCCTTCCATGCATGCACACACACATCAAACTCACATTCAAAAAAGACATCATTACCTTGTCTCCTCCTGTTTGGAAAGTTTGGGCAGTTTGTTTTTTTTCTGCAGAAATATTTTAGGATATTGCTTTATAAACTTATCGTGAGCTGATAGGATATTCAAAGCACTCCAGCTTTTGAAAGAAAGGGAAAGAGAGAGAGAGAAAGAGAGAGAGAGAGATTAAATTGTAAGTATCATCAGATAATAGCTTCCAAAGGAAGATTTTTTTAATCCAGTACATACAACTTAATTCTATACTACTTAGTCTAAGAAGCAAATAACAAAAATATGAAAACTTTTATGCTTTAAAAATACCCACACTATAAAAGTGCCTGTAGTTTGCTTCAGAAATATTTTTAAGAGTATCAAATTTATGGCAGTCAATGTAAAAAATTTAATTTTAAGTTAATCAAAGGCTTAACATTAGACCTGAAACCATAAAAATCAGAGAAAAAAAACATGGTAAAAATTTGCACATTGCTCGTAGCATTATTTTATCAGATATATATCTCCAGGCAAGGAAAACAAAAGAAAAAAATAAATAAATGGGACTTCAACAAACTAAAATCTTTTTGCACAGCAAAGGAAATCATCGACAAAATGAAAAGACAACCCACAGAATGGGAGAACATAGTCACCAGTACATCTAATAAGGGTTTAATATCTGAAATTTATAAAGAACTTACAAAACTCAATACCAAATAAAAAACCCAATTAAAAAGTGGGCAAACGACCTGATTAGACACTTATCCAAAGAGGACATGCAAATGGTCAATGGACATATGAACTTTTTTATACTTTCTTTAATTAAAGGCTTGCATAAGACATAACAGACTATTAAAATTTCTCCAAAATGATTCACATATATTTTAAATACACATTACTAGAAAGTATATTTATCTGAACCTTTGCAATGATTTTGACAATCTCATGCATTATATTTTTAGGGCTGGAATAAAGATGTCTTTGATCAAAAAATCAGCATTTCCCAAATCCAGCAGGTCACTGGAATTATCTGGAATATTTTTGTAAGTGCCAATTTCTGATATGTTTCCTATTGAAAGCTGGAGTCTGGGTGCAGTTCTATGCTTTAAATACTCCTGAAGTAATGCCTATTTCCTGCCAGATTTCATTCACTGCAAATATTAAAAATGTCAATAACAAGATCCACCTCAATAGGGTAATGATATTTGACTTTGGAATATTTGCCTCATTCAACATTCAATTGACAACCACTTCAAAAAATGGTCAATTATTACAATGCTAAACATTACTCTTGCCAGCTTATTTCAATAATTATCAAAGACCATCTTACTTAAAATTTAACAATGACAAATATCTTAGTCAATATTTGCCTCAGAGCAGTGAATGCAAAAATCCTTAAGAGAAGACTTTTCTTATATTATTGTCAATATAAATAATAATAACACATAGTAAAATATTTAAAATGGCTTTCTTTCTCTTGGCCAAAGTTCTTAAATCACCTTAATAGTTCTTTACAACTAGTATATATTTTAAGAATCTGTTTAACTTAATTTGACTTAACTGGTTCAAATAATGCATTGTGAATGTAACTTAATATGACATTAGAGATCCAAGATGGTGAGGAGTACGTAGAAGCCATACTAACCATTTCCGAAGATCAATCTGAAATTACAACTAAATTGTAGAGAAATTATCTTGAATAACCAACTGAACATTAACTGAAGAGAAACCTTATAATCATGGATAGACAGAAGAAACCACTTAAGCACATGACTGGTAGGGGGCAGAGGAGATGCAAGAGGGCTGGCTGGGTACTCACATGTGGCAGCTGAAGTGCCAGAAGGATATTTCAGAAGCCAGGGGTTCCCCCTGAGAAGTGTGGGGTCCAAACCCAAGTTGGACTACTCATGGTATAGCACCAGAGCTGGGAAAGAACCCAGAAAACTTCCAAATGTGAAAATCAGCAGGGTTTCTGTTGGCCAGGTATAAATGGCTAGAGGGAGAGAGCCTCTTAAAGGGCCAAAGTACAAAATTTTATTTGCAGCCATTTACCCTGGGTGTTGGAAGAGAGAGGGCAGAAACTCTTAAGGAGAGTCTGGAGTTGGTGGCTCTTAGGAGAGAACTGAAGGAATAGCCACCAGGATCCATGTGCTGATTTATTTACCATACCACAAAGTCATCCTTCTCAAGCAGAGCACTCCTCTATGAATGGAATCAGCCTTAGAGGAAGCAATACCCTGGCCCAGAATATTACTTGGCCATGCCCTGTGGTACTTAAGCTTGAGTGCTGATTACAGATTGATTACATTAACACCTGAACAGTTTAAAGGCTGATTAGTTTAATATCTAAGCAGAAAAATATGACGCAGCAGCCAAAAGGGGAAGACAAAGAGACCCCAAGTGAAAGAACAAGAGAATTTTCCAGAACAACTAGATGAAATAAAGGTAAGCAATTTATCAGATAGTTTAGAATAATGATTATAAGGATACTAAACAGCATCAAAAAAGACATAGAAACCATAAACAAGGATCAGTCAGAAATAAAGATAGCAATATCTGAGATAAATAATCTACACTGGAAGAAATAAATAGTACATTACATGAAACAGAGGATCAAATCAGTGATTTGAAAGAAAACACCCAAGCAGAGCAGCAAAAAGAAAAAAGAATTTTAAAAAATGAGGAGAGCTTAAGAAACATCTTGGACAACATGAAGTGTAACATCTGCATCGTGAGAATACCAGGAGAAGGCAGCAAGCAAGGGACTGAAAATCTGTTTGAAGAAATAATGACAGAAAACTTTTCTAATCCAGTGAAGGAAAAAGGCACACAAGTCCAGGAAGATTAGAGAGTCTGAAGCAAGTTGGACCCAAAGAGGCCTAGATCCAAGACACATCATAATGAAAATGACAAGCCTCAAAGATAAGGAGAGAATCCCAAAAGCCTCAAGAAAAAAAAAGCAAGGTTTTAGTTACAAGGGACCAACAATTACACTGTCATCTGAATATTTATCAGAAACATTTCAGGCCAGAAGGGAGTGGCATGAAATGTTCAAGGTGGTGTAAAGCATGGGCCTACAACTAAGACTACTTTATACAACAAGGCCATCATTTAAAATCGAAGGATAAATAGGGATTCCCAGACAATAAATAACTAAAGGAGTTTGTTAACAACAAACTAATACTGCAACAATGTTAAAAGGCTTGCTTTAGGAAGAAGAAAAAGAGAAAGAAAAAAAAAAACAGAAGAAAGCAGTCTAACAATAAGATGGCACTACATATGTATCTATCAATAATCACCTTAAATGTAAGTGTCTTAAATATTCCAACCAAAAGACACAGGGTAGCTGAATGGATAACAAAACAAGAACCACCCTGGGGTGAACCTCAATTCAGTGGATTGAATGCCAGCCTGTGAACCAAAGGGTCTCTGGTTTGATTCCCAGTCAGGGCACATACCAGGGTTGCGCACCAGGTCCCCAATAGGGGGTGATGAAGAGGCAACCACACATGGATATTTCATTCCCTTCTCCTCTCTAAATATAAATAAATAAAATCTTAAAAAAAAAAAAGAATGCAAGACCCATATAGTAGTCAAGGAACATGTATAAAAGACACAGGAACAAAGCCATGGAGTAGGATTGAGTTAGGGTGTGGGGATAGGTGGGTAGGGTGGAGTGGTGAAGGAAAAATGGAAACAACTGTACTTGGACAACAGTAAAGAAAAGAAAAGAGCCCTGGCTGCTGTGTCTCTGTGGATTGAGCACTGGCCTGTGAACCAAAGGGTTGCTGGTTCAATTCCCAGTCACAGCACATGCCTTGGTTGCAAGGCAGGTCCCCAGTTGGGGTGCTCAAAAGGCAACCACACATTGATGCGTCTCTTCTTCTCTTTCTCCCCTCTTCCCCTCCCTAAAAATAAAATAAATAAAATCATTAAAAGAAAAGTAAACAAGACCCATATATATGCTGCCTCCGAGAGATCCATCTCAGATTGAAAGATACACACAGGCTAAAAGTAAAGGGATGGAAAAATATATTTTCTATAAATGGAAAGTAAATGGAAAAGCTAGGGTAGCAGTACTTATATCTGAAAAACTATAAAAGCAAAGCTACAGTAACAAAGAAGGACACTACATAATGATAAAGGGAACAATGCAATAAGAGGATATAACCTTAGTAGACATTTATGTACCCAATATGGGAGCAACTAAATATGTAAAGCAAATCTTGATGAACGTAAAAGGAGAGATTGACAGAAATACAGTCATAGTTGGGGGGTTTTAACACTGCCTTGACTTGAATAGATAGATCTTCCAGGCAGAAAAGCAACAAGAAGACAGCCGCCTTAAATGACACACTAGATCAAATGGATTTAATTGATATCTTTGGAGCATGTCATCACAAAGCAGCAGAATACAAATACTTTTCAAGTACACATGGAATGTTTTCTAGGATAGACGACCTGACAGGATGCAAAACAAGTCTCAATAAATTTAAGAAGAGTGAAATCATATCAAACATATTATCTGACCACAGTTCTATGAAACTAGAAATCAATCGCAAGAACAACAAAAAACACACAGACATGGAAACTAAACAATATGTCATTAAACAATGAATGGGTCAAAAATTAGATCAATGAAGAAGTCAAACGATACCTTGAAACAAGTGAAAATGAGGGCACAAAAATCCAAATCGGTGGGACACTGGGAAAGCAATTGTAAGAGGGAAATTCATAGCATTACAGCCCTATCTCAAAACAACAACAACAAAAAAAGCTCAAATAAACAATTTAACTTTACACTTAAAGTATCTTGAAAAGGAACAACAAATAAAGTCCAAAGTTAGTAGAAGGAAGGAAATAATAAATATCAGAACAGAAAAAATGAAATAACATCTTTAAAAAAGCAATATTAAAGATCAATGAATCCAAGGGCTGGTTATTTACAAAGATAAAAGAGGTTAACAAAATTTTAACCACACTCGTCAAGAAAAGAAAGAGAAAAGACAAAAAAATAAAGTCAGAAATGAAAGAGGAGAAATAACTGACACAAGAAATAGAAAGCATCATAAGAAAATATGAACAATTATGTGTCAACAAATGGATAACCTGGATGAAATGGATAAATTCCTAGACATAAAATCTTCCAAAACTAAATCAGAAAGAATCAGAGAATCTGAATAGAAAAACTACACCTAATGAAATTGAAGCAGTAATAAAAAAAATTCACAACAAACAAATGCCCTGCACCAGATGGCTTTGCAGGTTAATTTTACCAAACATTCCAAGAAGAACTAACACCTCTCTCCCCCAAACTATTTCATAAAATTCAAGCGGAGGGAAGGCTCTCGAACTCATTTTTTTTGGCCAACAATATCCTAATGCCAAAACCAGATAAAGACACTACTAAGAAAAAAAATATAGGCCAATATATGTAATGAACATAGATGCTATTAAATCCTCACAAAATATTAGCAAACCAAATACAGCAATGCATTTGATAGATCATAAAGCGTGATCAAGTGGGATTCATTCTGGGAATACAAGGATGGTACAACATTTGAAAATCAATAAATGTGATTCACCACATAAACAAAATGAAGGATAAAAACCAGATGATTATATAAATAGATGCTGAAAAAGCTTTTGATAAAGTCCAGCACCAATTTATGATAAAAACTCTCAACAAAGTGGAAATAGAGGGAATATACCTAAACACAATAAAGGCCACATATTACAAACCCACTGCCAGCATCATACTTAATAGGCAAAAACTACATGTGTTCCCCTTAAGATTGGTAACAAGACAGGGAGGTCCACTTACATCTTTCTTATTCAACATAGTACTGAAAGTCCTAGCCATAAGAATTAGACAAGAAAAACAAATAAAAGGAATCCAAATTGGAAAGAAAGATGTAAAACTGCATTTGTAGGTGACATGATACTGTACATAGACAACCTCAAAGATTCCACCAAGGAACTACTAGAACTGATAAATGTATTGAGCAAAGTAGCAGGATACAAAATTAATATTCAGAAATCAGTTGCATTTTATATGCCAATAACAAACTAACAGAAAGGAAAATTAGGAAAACAGTCTTATTCACAATTGCTTCAAAAATAATAAAATACCTAGGAATAAACCTAATCAAGGATGTTAAAGTTCTGTACTCAGAAAATTATAAGACACTGAAGAAATAAATTGAAGAAGATACAAATACCATACTTTCAGACTATAGGACACACTTCCCCCCCAGAAAATTTGGGAGGAATAATGGTTGTTAATGCTGCTGTTGAGTTCTGTTTACATTTACATTGGTGAAATATTATGTTATTTATGTTATTAAATATTTTACTACATATTTTGCTTAATTTTTTTTCTATTGTCCTCCTCTAAAACCTAAGATGCATCTTATGGTCTGAAAATAAGCATATACCTGGTTCATGGATGGGAGGAATTAACATCACTAAAATACCCATATTACCCAAAGAAATCTATAGATTCAACACAATCTCCATCAAGATTTCAATGACCTATTTCACAGAACTAGGAGAAATATTTCAAAAACTTATATGGAACCACAAAAGGCCCTATACTACAACAGCAATCCTGAGAAAGAAGAACAAATTTGAAGGAATCATGCTACCTAATATCAAACTATACTACAAGTCCATCGTAATCAAAACAGCATGGCACTAGCATAAAAATAGACACATCTATCAATGGAACAGAACAGAGAGCCTAGAAATAAACCCATACTTTTATAGTCAATTAATATTTGACAGAGGAAGCAAACATGTATAATGGGCTAAAGATAGTTTATTCAATAAACAGTGTTGGGAATATGGACAGATATGTGCAGAAATATGAAACTAGACCACTTTCTTACACCACACACAAGCATAAACTCAAAATGGATCAAAGACTTAAATGTTTGATCTGAAACCATAAAAATGCTAGAAGAAAAATTAAGAGGAAAATTTCTATTGCTCATAGAAATTTTTTTATCAGGTATATCTCTCCGGGCAAGAGAAACAAAAGAAAAAAAATAAACAACTGAGATTTCATCAAACTAAAAAGCTTTTGCACAGCAAAGAAAATCATCAACAAAATAAAAAGATGATCCACAGAATGGAAGAACATATTTGCTGATACATCTGATTAGGGATTGATATCCAAAATTTATAAAGTACATTCAAAACTCAATACCAAAAAAACAAGCAGTCCAATTAAAAAATGGGCAGGGTCTCCCAAACACAGCACTTAACAAGTTTGAAGATGCAAGAAGAGGGCCCAAACACCCCCACACACAGCTTGCCTAACTGCCACACAGTATAGTAAAAGCTGGAAAGCTTTGCCCATGTTTGCCTCCTTAATCCCACTCTCTTTATTTTTTATTTTATTTTTTTTACATTTTAAAAGTATATTTTATTGATTATTCTATTACAGTTGTCCCAATTCTGCACCCCCCCCCACACACATACACATCCTTAGTTCATGTCCACTGGTTGAGGGTATAAGTTCTTTGGCTTCTCCAATTTTTATACTATTCTTAACCTCCCTATTCTATACCTACCAATTATACTTCTTTTTAATTTTTACTTTTATTATTTTTATTTTTATTGTTGTTTAAGTACAGTTTTCTGTCTTTTACTCCCATCCCAGCCCACCCCCATAACCCTCCCTACCTCCTTCCCATTTCTACTCCCCCTTAGTTTTTGTCCAGGTGTCTTTTATAATTGTTTCTGTAAACCCTTCCCCTTTTCCCCTAAAATTCCTGCCCCTCTCCCCTGTGGTCACTGTCTTTAAATGTGACTTCTTCTGGGATGTAGACTCTGTCAATAAAAGTTTTTCAGCCTGTATCCTAATTAGCCTATCCTTCAGCCCCAAAACTCATGTTTGTTTCATAAGGATGTAACATATGTATTTACAGTGAGCAACTGTAATGAAATTAAATAAATAAACAAACAAACAAATGAATGAATGACAAATAGACACTTATCCAAAGAGGATGGGTGGCCAATAGACATATGAGAAGATCCTCAATATCACTAATCATCAGAGAAATGCAAATAAAAGCCACAATGAGGCACCATCTCATACCTGTCAGAATGGCTATCATCAATAAATCAACAAATAAAGAGTGCCAGTGAGAAGGTGCAGAAAGGGGAACTCTTTTACACTTGGTGCAGCCACTGTGAAAGCAGTATGGAGATACCTCAAGAAATTAAAAATGGACCTTCCCTTTGACCTCCAAATCCCACTTTTGGGAATATATTCAAAAGAACCTGAAACACTAATGCAAAAGAATGTAAGCACCCCTATGTTCATTGCTGTGTTATTTATAATTGCCAAGATATGGAAGCAGCCCAAGTGTCCATTTACAGATGAGTGGATAAAACAACTATGGGACATTTATACAATGGAATTGTACTCAGCCATAAAAAAGTAGAAAATGTTACCCTTTGCAATGTTATGAATGGACCTGGAGAACATTGTGCTAAGTGAAATAAACCAATCATCGAAAGATAAACACCATATGATTTCACTCATATGTGGAATCTAATGAACAAACTAAACTATAAAGGAAAATTGAAATAGACTCATAGATGGAGAGCAGATGACAGCTAGTGACTAGTGGGTGGAAGGATTGAGCAAAAAGGAAAAAGGATTCATGGACATGGACAACAGCGTGGCTGGTGATTGCTGAGGAGAAAGGCAATATAAGGGAACTAAATGGCAGTGAAAAAATATAAGATTACAGTTAAAAATATGACTTTAGACATTTTCATTCTTACTCTTCCATTACAAAGATACATTGACCAAGAATCTACTTTTTATTCAAATCAAACCTCTAATATCAACTAGAAGCTTTTGCAAGATCTTTATTTTCTTTTTTTTTTTTCTATTTGGAACTGATTTTCTACAGTTATTTATTTTACACATTTACCTGTTATATTGGATACATGTTCTGTACCAAACATTGTACTAAGATCTTTACATTGCCTTTGTCTCATTTTATATTTACATGACCTTACAGCTTTGGTATATTTTACTGCCCATTCAATCCATAAAGAAACTGAAAACTGCCCCCTCTGGTCAGCTCAGTTGTTTGGAGCATCATCCTGTACACCAAAAGGTTGTGGGCTTGATTTCTGGTCAGGGCACATACCTAGGTTTCAGGTCCAATCCCTGGTTGGGGTACATATGGAAGGTAACCAATTGATGTTTCTCTCTCAGTTTCTCTCTCCTCTTCTCCCCTCCCCTCCCCTCTCCTCCCCTCCTTTCCTGTCCTCTGTTCCTTTCCCTTCCCTTCCTCTCTCTCCCTCTCTCTCTCTCATCAATGAAAACATATCCTCAGGTGAGGATTAAAAAATTTAAAATATTTTAAAAACTAACTGAAAGCTTAGCAATTTTCCTAATTCATATAACTGGGAAGCAGAGGACATAGGGCACAAATGAAAACTAAATTGACTTCAAAACCCATTCTCTTAACCTTTTGGATATATATGGCCCCATCCCAAATAATAAAAAGCATTATTTCTTATTTTGTGCCAGACACTATTCTAGGTCATTTACATGTATCAGATCATTTCATCTTTACACAATTATATTATCTGAAACTCCTATCTTTCCCAATTTTGTAGACAAAGAAACTGAGTCCCAATGAAGAACAAAAGTGTGCCTCAAGTTCACACAGCTGGGAAATGACAGTGCCAGGATTCAGATCAAGCAAACTGACTCCAGAGAGCAAGTATGGAATTCTTTATGTGAAGCTGAAAATCACTGGGAGTGAGGAGGCAAGAGTGTGAGGGAAAAATCATTCTGGAGAGAAATGCAAAGAATATCAAAGAAGCACACACTTCTCACTTTCTGTGAGAAAAAATAATAATGGGAAAATGTATGGTAATATAGAAATAATTTGAAATGGTTAAGAGGATGTGATATAGAAATATGTTCAAGTGGAGAAAGCCACTTTAGGGTAAAGTGGAATAGCCACTTAGGGTATTTTCTCAGCAGTCCCATGAAAGACTAGGAAAAGGCCTGTCTCTGTAAAGGAAGGTGGGAGGGTAGATGGACAAGGATGAATACAGAAGAAACTAAGTAGTTTCATAATTTCAAAAATCCAAGTTGGGCAAAGGAGTTGACAAAAAAAGTGATTTTAAAGTTATATTTCCAAGTATAGTATATATTAGGAATCCTGAGCTTTGAACCATGGTATTTCACAGTTCTTTGGCTTATTTATATTTCACCCATTCATCACCTATGAATTCAAGATTTGTGGTTTAAACTGTTCCATTTTGTTTTGGATGGAAGATTGTACCCAGAGACTGATTCGGTCTTGCCAGCTGTTGATTTATCACACACTTGCTGTAGGAATTGGGATAGTTTCATAAGCCAATAGTATACAAGGTAATATCTTAGCCAGTACAGAAATAGCATAGTCCAAACAAATGACAGATTATTTACACCTGTTCCAGGCAAGAGGAGACAAAAGGAATAAAATCCAAATTTAACAATGGTGAACCTCTTAATAGGAGTTGAGTTTCTTCACCTGACTTAACAGCTGCCAGCTCCAAAACCAAAGTCCCTTATTGTTAGGGAACCAAGGTGCTGGTGTTGGAGGGCAGGGTGGCTGTTCTCAGAGTCATCATTTCAGGGCTGGTGCATGTTAGAGAACCACACCCATCCAAAGAGTCACCTGGGCCAGGGCAGGAGCAAATGTTTCAGGATTTTCAGAGAGCTGTTTTAGGTCAGCAAAGTGTGCCTTTCTCAGACAGGAACTCTCTAAAAGTCTTTACAAACTCTCAGTATTTAGCCTAAAGACCCCCTTGCCATAGTTACTTCTTTATCTGGTCTTGTGGATAAACCCCCAGCTGGACCCCTCAGCACCTGAGCCTCTGGGTGCTTATCCACAACAACCAAGCAGGTGGTGATGTGCTGACATAACTTTACTTCTAAAAACAACTTTTTAATCCTTGCCATAAACAAATGGATTAAAACAATGTCTTTTAAGTCAAAAACAGGTGGATTTGAAATCATATCAAACAAATACATGATACCTTCAAATCTTTTTGCCAGATGACTGCTTTCTAAGTATCGGAAAGGAACCAAGTAGGAGTAAGTCATGTTTGAGGCACAAGATAGTGTTTCCCTAAAACATGATATATATATTAATATATGTGTGTGTACACATATGTGTGCATATATCATGTTTTAGAATTATATCATGTTGTGTGTGTGTGTGTGTGTGTGTGTGTGTGTGTGTTTGTATCTTGTCCCCTTAATCTGGAGAAATAACACCAGGTTTGCAAGTACTTTTATCTGTGTGGTAAATCATGTATCTATGAGAGTCAACAATGGTTAATTATTATACTTTATTCACGAAAGAAACTTAAGATTCACTTGAATGACAAAAGAAGCATGACTATCTTACCTGCTCTGTTGTCCACCCATGTGACATAATGCATTCAACTGACCATAATCAATGTGCTTAGACACTTTCAAGCCTACAAAAAAATCAATTAAAATGTGAGTAATTTTCTGCATTATTATTAACCAAGTTTATAAATAGAGTTTCATTGCAAACATTCATCATAGTAAAAGAATTCTGTGACTATAATGTGAGATTTTAACACTTTGAGGCACAAACAGAATTGAATAGGGTGATTAAAATAAGGAAAGTATTTCATGTTTTTCATTGATGTTATATTTGGTCTAGCATTGTTTGTGTTTGATTCCAGTAAATTCTTGAGTTTATGTGCCATATAATGTCACTCCTCTGAATGTAAGCCTTTGAGAACCCCCATCCTACACCTTTAGAATGTGAACTGGTTTCAGAACTCCAGTCATGACAATCCAAAAAAGTTTTCTTATAGTTTTTGTCTCTGTCTCTCTCTTTCTCTGCAAAACTGGTCATATTTATTTAATCCTATGCAGGTCTCCACCTTTGAGTAGCCCCTTTCCAGAACACCTTCAGGGTCTTGATTCAGTTTGCAATTGCTTGGGAAGTTCAAGGGTAAGCAAATCACACAAGATACCATAAGAGCAGAAAGATGGTAATCATAACCATGAAGCAAACTGTTCCAAAAAACAAAAACTGACATCCTTTGGAGTAGATAGAGGAAAGGCAGACTAGTGGGTACCATCAGCATCCTTAGGATGATTATAGAACCTTCCATTATGCCAGGAGAGTGCATGTAGTGAGTAACCCTGAAAAACAGAAAGCAATCATAGGTACTAACAAGCACAGCACTCATCCCTTTAGTGAAAAGGTATTGACAAAATCAGTATTTTAATGTATTCCTAAAAAAATTTTTCATTTAAAGTGTATTTTATTGATTATGTTATTACCATTGTCCCAGTTTTTTTCTCCCCTTTATTATCTCTTCACTGCGCTGCCCGCTTCTCCCCTCCAGTATCCCTCTCCCTTAGTTCACGTCCTTGGGTTGTTGATAAAAGTTGTTTGATTTCTCCATTTCCTTAACCTCCCCGTCTATCTTGTGTCTACTTATTACGCTTCTTATTCCCTGTACCTTTCCTCCCCATTCTCCCACTTTCCCACCCCACTGATAACCCTTCATCTGATCCACATTTCTGTGATTTTATTCTTGATCTAGTTGTTTAGTTTTTAGGGTTTTTTTAGGTTCAGCTGTTGATAGTTGTGAGTTTGTTGTCATTTTATTGTTCATAGTTTTTTATCTTTTTCTTAGATGAGTCCCTTTAATATTTCATTTAATAAGGTTCTGATGATGAACTCCTTTAACTTGACCTTATCTGGGAAGCACTTTATCTGCCTTTCCATTCTAAATGATAACTTTGCTGGAGAGTGTAATCTTAAATGTAGGTCCATGCCTTTCATGACTTCAAGTACTTCTTTATAGCCCCTTCTTGCCTGTAAGCTTTCTTTTGAGAAATCAGCTGGTAAACTTATGGGAACTCGTTTGTAGGTAACTGTCTCCTCTTGTTGCTTTTAAGATTCTCTTATCTTTCATCTTGGGCAATGTAATGATGATATGGCTTGGTGTGTTCCTCCTTGGGTCCAAATTCTTTGGGACTCTCTGAGCTTCTTGGACTTCCTGGAAGTCTATTTCCTTTGCCCGTTTGGAGATGTTTTCCAGCATTATTTGTTCAAATAAGTTTTCAATTTCTTGCTCTTCCTCTTCTCCTTCTGGCACTCTAATGATTTGGATGTTGGTGTGCTTAATGTTGTCCCATAGGTTCTTAATTTCTCTTTATTTTTTTCTTTTTGCATTCTTGTTTCTTCATTCTGTTCCAGTTGGATGTTTATTTCTTCTTTTTGTTCCAAATCATCGATTTGAGTCCGGGTTTCCTTCCCTTCACTGTTCCCTTCCTGTATACTTTTCTTTATTTCACTGTGTGTATCCTTCATTTCTTCCTTCATTTTGCAACCAAGCTCAATCAGTTCTGTGAGCATCCTGATTATCAGTGTTTTGAACATCGCATCAGATAGGTTTTTTGTCTCCTCATCACTTAGTTTTTTTCTGGAGTTTTGATCTGTTATTTAATTTGGGCCATGTTTCTTTATCTGTTAAATGGTAAAGGGTGGAACATTAGGTATTCCCCAGGGCAGGGCCACCATCTTTGTTTCCCTGTGGCACTGTCTGTGAGGGAAGTATCAGAGAGGTGGCAGAGAATGCCACATGCTCTGCTCTCATCCCACTTTCCATCACTTCCCTCACTTCTCATAAGCAGATTGTGCCTTTTCAGGTACTGATTCCCAGGTGGGTGTATACATTTTAGGACCCTGTGGGCCTCTCCAACAAACTCTCCTGTGAGGCTGGGAGTTTCTCTGGCTGCCACAATCCCAGAGATTTTTTTTATAGCCAAGGGTTTTCAGTCTTTAGTTTCCTGGATGAAACCCTGGTTTTTGCAGTCTGTCTTGCTCCACTATTATTCCTTCTGGCTTATCTGCATGCAAATGTGGGATCGCTCAGGTGGTCTACCACCTTGCCTTGCCCGAGTCCTCTCTGACCTGGCTGCTGGTCACCACCCTTCCTTCCAATCTGGATGAATGTCCATTTTTCTCCTTGGTTGTTGGACTTCCACACAAATTATTTTCTGGCAGTTCTGGTTGTTCTTTATTTTTAAGTTGGCTGTTGTCTTTCTTTTGGTTGTGTGAGGAAGTGAGGCATTTCTGCTTAGGCCTCCATCTAGGCCAGAAACCCTAGACCTAAAACTTTTAAAAATGTATTCATTGGTATGACGTCACAGTAGGTGGAAGTTGAATCTACTTGCTCCTGCTCCTAATCCCAACTTTCAGCTGAACTTTCAGCAATCAACCTGAAAAATCAACTGAATATTTCCTTATATAAAGGTTTAAACTCAAGGAGTAAAAAAGATACTTTGTAGATACTGGTAAAAGGGATTTATAAGTGGAAGGAGAAAAACCCTGTGGGTGACTTCTGCTGAAGCTGATACCAGACAGAAATTGCACCTCTGGAGATAATCTCCCTCATTAAAACCAGGAGTCTTAGTTCCATGGCCACAAGCCCACATCTACAGAGACAGGAAGAGTAAATTGACTGCTTGTTTGTTGAGGGAAGTTTGGGGAGGTCCACTGAGACTGTGGAAGCATGCAGAGCTTCTATTGTTGTAGTGCCAACATGGAAACCTCAGGATAGGGGCTCAGACTGATAAAAGGACCAGGTCGTTGGACCCGGGTCTTACAGAGGCACCTACAGGCTGCAACCAGTAGTGACTTTGAGAGATATTTTGCTCCTTGGGGAGGTTTTATGCGAAGCCCCAAACAGTGACTCAGTTCTGTGGTATGGGTACTGCAGACACTGATAAAAGAAATGGAAATACAAACGGGCAAGGAGCCCTTGTTTAGCCACTCTGCTGGCTGGGAGACCAGACTGAAATTGCAGCAGCAAGGCTCCCTCTCCTGAGAACTGGGGGGACATAATTCACCCAGCAATCCCCAATACACAACAATCAAGATGGAAAGTGGAGGCTGTGGGGTCAATGGCAGTGAGAAGTAATGTGGTTCCACTACACCTGTAAAAATCAGAGATTGCAAGTTTAGTATGAAATACTCATATGGTTTTGTCAACAGACTAAACAGTTTACTATATGATGTCAGAGTACAGGAGAAACCACAATACTGCAATAGGGCCTCTGAGGGCTGAAGACAGCAGTGGCATAAAAAAGATCTCTGGTTGTTGGGGAGGTGTAGGGTGGAAACCAAAACAGAAAACTTACCAGGTGACTTGAGAAAGAGAACTGGTTCCCCCTTCTCAAGAGTATGGGTGGTTCCCTGCTCCCCATTGTGAGCCAGCTGTTCCTCCTCCTCCATGGCTGCTGTTGCATAAGAGAGCCTACAAGAACCCAATTTTTTGGGGGCTCATTCTGAACTTGTCCCAGCCATGGCAAGCCACACTGGGTCTTCAGATCCTTTCCCACTGAAATCAGCCAGGAAGAGAGATCAGAACTTTGTGCAATGAGGGGTTTTTGGACCTTGCCTGGTTCAGTTTATAGACAGGCCAGCTGCTGCACATAGCAGAGGGTCTGGACTATGTCTCCTGAAAGAGCAATTGGCAGAGACTTAGACAGGTGAGAGTTGAGCACCTAGGATACTTTGAAGTGAGGCTAACCACTCTCAGCCCACACTGGCATGAAAAAGAGAAAGAGTGCCCACCCCCTTCCTACAAGGTTGCAAGCACCACCCCAAAAGGGAAACTCTGAAGAATAGCCCTGAGAAGTCCCAGGTTCCCCTGCTTAGTGCATTTCCATTGGGGGAGAAAAAGAAACTCAGAATAAGGACTTAACAAGTTTGAGATTTCTGGAGGATATTGCCTGGGAATGGAACAAAGAGCTGGGCCTCATACTGAGGTTCTATAATGAGACAGAGAACATAGCCCCCACCTGCAGTATGGTCTGGCTCCAGTCCCAGTGGGAGGCTCTTTTGATCTACCCAATGAAGTCCAGAGCTGCTGAGCTCACTCCTGCAATGGGGAAAGCTGGATGTATCCATCTTGAACCAGCAGTGAGCCCCCCTGAGGAAGCAAGTGCTAGAGTTACTGACAAAGATGGAAGGTGTTGGCTTTGAGTAAGGGCTATTCTTCTCCCCCTAAGTGCCCTACAGAGTGCACAACCAACAAAGTGGGAAACCTGCTAGTCTTATCTCAACACACCTGGTATCATCATACAGTCTCTCATCACGAAGTTCAAGAGGAAGGCCAATTAACGTCAGCATGGGGAAGAGCAACTGAAAGGGGAAGGCCAACCTCAGGAAGCATTGTATCCTTTACAGAACTTCCACCAATTGGCCCCTTACATGCACAAGCATGTCCAGCTATAGTGAGGTAGTATTACACACAATGTCTGAAAGCAACCTGTATCTGAATCCCATCTGAGTAGACACAGAACCTACAAAATCAATGATAGGCTTCAACCCACACCAAAGCTCGAACCAATGAGCCACACAATCAGTACACCCAAAGGGAGATTTCTGTAGGCTCCAGGCCCTGCTGGGAACAACACCTCA